TGACATCCTTTCCTATAAAACTCCTGGTCTGTATAATTACATATTAATTCTTAAATTATACCTTTTTGTTCCTAGGAGAAAATAACCAGCCAGTATTACATCAGTCTTGCCAATCTAATTTAAAATAATGGTAAAGGTCAAAGATCTAGTAAAAATAATGTGATAGACAGTTTGGACCAGGAGGTCTCTAATGCCTATCTTAACCCTTTTATCAAAGAAACAAGCAACTCCGTGGCAGGGAGACCAGAGGCAAGGAACACACCATTGAACTGATACTGTTTTCTGTATGCAAAAGGATAAGGGCTGTAGAAATTGAAAGGAAGGACCAGATGTGTGGAGAAAAACTTCAATGGAGAAAGAATTGATGGCATATTGCACTTTATTTAATTGAATGTGGGGAGCAAAGGAGAGTAATTATTATGAAGTGTGGTATTGAGGGTGGTTAAGTTACCGTATAAGGAATTTCTGTGAGGTGGGGTTATGATGTGAAGAAAAGATCATGCTAAGAGTGACATGGCCCCATGTCCAGAATAGTATACATGCTCAGTTGTGGTAGAGAAGAATTTTTATCACATAGATATGAAGGCTGTCCGAAAAGTGTCCAGCCATTGTTAATAAAAATGGTTTGCGTGACATTGATGTAACCTGGCAGCCAAGGAGAGTGGACTATAATATGCACGCCTGAACAATGACGACTTCACTGGACTAGTCAGTGGGGCACTAGACGCGGTTGAGTGAGCATGTGTACTGTGTGGCTGTCACATTCAAAATAACTGACCCAGTAGAGCAATGAATCTGCCTCAAATTTTGGGTTAAGCTTGAAAATTCCTTTGCGGAAACCATTGGGATGATTCAAAAGGCTTTTGGGGATGTTGCAATGAGTGCCGCGCAAATAAAAGTGTGGCAAAAATGCTTCAAAGATGGTAGAATATCTGTTGAAAGTGATCTGCGTTCTGGAAGGCCTGCAACAAGCAGAACAGCTGGGAGTGCTCAACGTGTACGGGTTAGGTTACGAGATGCTGGGAGAACTGTGTGAGGTCCCAAGGTGCCTACTCTGAAGGGGACCGAGGTGTTATTATCCTGTGTACAATGTCTCTTGTATCTTCTTCAATAAGTGTCTCTATTTTTTATATTACATGGCTTGATACTTTCCGGACAGCCCTCCTATATCTCAGAAGAGATCGGGCGCGTTCAGGGTGGTATGGCCGTAACCTATAT